TTCGCGCGCAGCAAGAATCCCAGGGCCGCGGGATGCAGATTCAGTTGCAGGACTGGCAGTGGAAGAGGGAAGGCGAAGGAGCCGAACTTGCTCACTCGACCGCTGCGACGTGCTCTGACAGGAGAGAGCGTCATGGTAGCAGGGCCCACGGGGCTGCAAGAAGCTGTCTTACCATGCCCCAGGCAGCTCAGAAGCCCAGCATCCCCAAGGCTCAGTGAGAGCAGCGGCCAGCGCGGCTCTGGCGACTGCGACCCTCGCTCGCCTTTACTTTAAGAGCCCGGCAGACCTCCTCAGGGCCGGTACCGACAGAGCAAAAGCCCACGTTGGTGTAGACTGACCCTGGAGGGTCACTTGAAAAGTCTTGTACACCGGTGGCTATGGGGAGGAATGCTACCATTCCGTGTCTGCGCATGTTTCCAAGTAGGGAACCTGAAAGTTCAAGACACCTGAGAAGTCACACAGTGCTTTGATGCGAATCTGCGCAGATCTGTGACGGCTGCGAATCTACTCAAATCTTCAATGGCAAGAAGGCAGACAAAGGAAGCGAAAGCCAAGCGTGCAACTAGCCTGCAAGCTGCGGGAATGCAAACCACATCTTTGCACACAGTTATCAGCTTACCCCTGGGAATGCCATTATACGCTGAGGGCCGATGCCTGGTGCAGAACTGCGGAAAGTTTAAACATGCTCCCCACCGCCGCGCGAGACCTCACCGTAGACCTCCCGGAAGCACGGCAGACAGAGCGAGCACAGCGGGAAGCCCCTGCTGGGCCACTTGCCGCAGCTTCCACTGAACCCTTGCCCGAAAAACGCCGAGAGACGGGGTCCAATTTCCTTGAACGAAGATTTCGAAACAGCAATCATCCGCAGCACACAGAACAGAAGGGGGCTGAGCTGCAAGCAGTCCTTTGCCCCATGAGGCCCTGGTTCGCCTGATTCATGAAGCTTAAGCCTTGGGTGGCCAGGGTGGAATCTGCGATCGCGGAAGCTACGGCTGCGGGGCGCCCCCAGAAAGCCGGTCCCTTAGTGATGGACGGGGGGATCTGCTCGTGAGCCCGAGACGCCCCTGATGGCCTAGAGGCCTCTTCTTTAAGGCGGGGGGCCCTTCTTATTCTTCAAAGCACAGCTAGAAGGGTGGAGTTCAAAAGGCAAAAGAAACAGAACGTTCAGCAACTTCCGTGAGGTCGGAGTGCTTGGAGTTGCTGCAATCGCTGGCATCAGATCAGCAGAAGAGGCAGAAAGCGAGAACTTCTCCGCGATTCGGGGGAGGTTCGGGTTCCGGCCTCAGGCTTTCAGCTGAATTCCGGCCTCAGGCTTTCAGCTAAGCAACCTCGACATGGAGCTACGAACTCAGAAAGCCCACGCTCCCAGGAGTCTAAGGCCTAAGCATGCAGAGCAGGTGCACCTCAGCATCACCACTGGCCCGACCGGCAGAAAGCCGGGCATTTTGCAATTTAATGCTGTCGAACACAAGGCTTCTGAAGCAGAGAGGAGTCCTCTGCTGACACAGCTCTAGCGACTGCCTGGCCTGTCTCTGCTAGCTCCAAGCACCCTTCTTCAGGGATGACTTCGGCTCGGGGGCCTTGAAAAAGGGCCCAAAATGCCCATCCTTGGGACAGGGGCCAGCGCACTGGAGGGCTCTCATCTGCGATGCCAAGGAGGTGGGAAAAATGAGGGGTAGATGGGCCGCCGCCAAAGCTCCTTTGGTCACGAGTCTTTGGGTTCTCTTCCTGCTAGGACTCGGACCCGGCAGGGACATGCGCAATGAAGTCCTGTCGCTTGCTTCCGGCTACAGCTCTGTGCCCTGCTCTCACGCAGCACAGAGCAATTCATCACGAAAAAACTGCAGACCTTCCATCGAAAAAAACTGCAGACCTTCGATCGAAGTCTGGGAAGCGTAGCCAGAGAAGCTGCCGGGGAGCATGTCAAAGTGGTGCGGCAAGGACAGTGACGCGTGGCTGAAAGTGATCGGCGGCCGGCGATCAAGCTGAATCGAAGTAGAAGCCCGCCCAACCGATCCCAACAGAGCTGCTGCCTACGGTCGTCGAAATCCTGCTCGAAGAACACGCAAATCTTCTGGACAACAAGGTCGCAGCGGTAGGAGGTAGGCAGAGCAACCATACCGACATCCCTGCGAGCTGGCGGCTAATTGAAGGAGACCACCCCCATGCCCTTTTGAAGGGACACCACGATAAGAGGCAAGGCAGAGGTATGGAAAGCCATCATCTCCTCGTGCGGCGAACTTTACCAGACTTCTCCGGGCAACTCTCCACAGACTTCAGCGCGGCTTTCCGCAGGTCATGCATCATCCGCTTCCCGTCACAAAGTACTGGACAGGAGGCCTGGACGGAGGAGCCCCGGCAATCGGATGGCTGCCCCTTACACAGAGAGCCGAAAGAGTAGACCATAGGAAAGCGCCACTGCTGCGGATGCTTCGACGTCAGGAGGGAGTAGTGTGCTAACTGGAGTCTGCCTGCGGCCCATGGAAGCTTAGGAGCTCCCGTAGCTCAGAAAGCCCCCAAAAGGCCTCGCAGAAAAGTGGAGGAATCCTTGTTGGGGCCGCTTGGAAGCCAGGAGATAGCAGTGCGCTAACTTGAATCCGCCTGGGGGCTCGAGAAGCTCAGGAGTCCTGCAGACTTCGCCTTGCATGTGGCACCGAAGCCCTGGCACTTACAGCGAAACCTCACAGCTTCACAAGACCTAGGAGGTATCAGCTTGCACGCAGCAATGCGGACCCGAAAGAGTGAAAGGCCAATTTCGGCGTCTTCACTTTGTGATGGGGGCCATTGGCAGCGGCGAGGGGCGCAGCTGCCGAAGCAGCTCACTTACGTCGCTTACTGCACTCTGCACACCTACTGCACCTCTAGAATGAGTCTAAAACTGGCCTCTGAAGACCCAGCTTATGCTCGATGAGGCTGCTCACAGCATGTGTGTAAGGCAGGGCCTGGCAGAGACAGCGCTTTGTCCTGTCAGTCCCACTCGGACCCTTTGCTTTGTGCAAGAGGGCCAATGGGCGACAGTCCTACAAAAGGCAGCCGCTGGCATCCGGGTTCAGCGAACGCCTGGCGAGCAGTGGGGGTTGGGGGCGGGTTAGGGGTTTAGGGTTTAGGGGTTGGAGTTTGGGGTCGCGCTTTAGTAAACCTAACAAAACCTGAGTCGATTTCATAACCTGACCATCGAAAACACGGCAGCAAGAACAACAGTCAGAGTGAAAAAAAGGAGAAGCAGCAGCAGAAGAAGGGCGACATCATCAGCCAGCCAGGACCTCCAATTCTTCAGCCCCATGCCAAAAGGCAAGCAAGTCGGCTCAAAACATAACGGAGTTGAAGGTTCTTTTCAGGCTGTATAAATGGGTTAACATACTGTTGATGATATAAATCCTGCATTACCTTAAGGACCCTAAACTATGGAAATTATGGTATATTCCCTATTATGGGTAATGCAGGATTTATATCATCAACCGTATCAAGGCAAAAGTTGAGGGTTTAGGGGTTAGGGGTTAGGCCTATAGGGTCTTCACAGGGTTCAGTGGCGCAGGATCCTCAATTACTGGGCTCTTGCTGCCGGACGGAGTTTAAGTTACCACAATAAGGAAACCATATTATTTACTAGAGATCCCTATCATGGTAACTTCGTAGATTAAAAAATCTTAACCAGAACCCAGACTATATTGGAGGGTCGAGGGACCTAGTAACTAGATACCTTATAGACTTACAAGCATCATAACTCCAATTAGGATCCCAGATAGGGTACTCCTACATCTACTTCTTATCTGCCTGCTAAGTGCCCCGACCCTCCTGGCGAGGTTTAGGACTAGGGTTCAAGATACTTAAAGGATCAGGGGACTTTAGTAATTCGGGTTATAAGTACGGTAACTATAGGTATATCTACTTATAGCCCTAATTAAGGTACTTCTAACCCTACTCAGTCCCATGATCCTCCAAGTGAAGGCCTTGATAGTTCCGGTTTTGGGCTTCCCTGGACCCTAAGTAAACTATATTCTTAGGGTTCCTTATTACGATTTCCTTATATGCAGCCTTGAAAAGGTAGGTTATTTGGGGTTAAGGTAGGGTGTAAGGTTACCGCATCGCTGGAATACGTGGTCAGTATATACCAACATACATTTAGATTTTCAAAAGGAATTATATCACGGTAGGGCCACGGGGGCTAGCATACATATATATATATATATATATGTACACACATACCCGCACATATGTGTATGCAAACAGCCTCGTGGGAGTATTAGAATCAAATCCGCCGCTTGGACTATTTAATGGATCTGAAGTCAGAGGGCGGCAGCGACCTACTCCCCCAAAACCCTAAACCCTAAACTCTAAACCCCTAAACCCTAACCCCTGAACCCCTAAACCCTAAACCCCTGAACCCCTAAACCGAGAGCATGCTATCGAAGCTCCCAGAGATTCCCCACGCATTGATGCTCCAACGCATACGGGTGGTTGACACAATTAGGGTCTGTTTTGGGGTACCCTAAAAATTAGGTGCCGTACAATAACAACGGTTGATGATATAAATCCTGCACTACCTTAAGGACCCTAAACTATGGGAATTATGGTATATTCCTTCTAATGGGTCATGCAGGATTTATACCATCCACCGAAGGTCCCAAAAAGGGACCCTAATTTTGACAACCACCTGCATATGGTTTCAGTCTTTTTGCCTCGCTTCCACCAGTCAAGGACATGCTGTCGGCTGAAGCGAAGCCAGAGCACGACCGGTGCGTGGGCCACGCAGTGCAGGAGTCTGTCTTGGACATTCCTTCGTTGGGGAACCGGTGCCCCAAAAAAAAGGAACGTGCAGTTGAAAAGCTGAATTTCCCGGCCTTACTTGGAAGGTCGGGGGGACTTAGTAAGTAGGTAGTATGTAGAGTTATAAGTACCCTAAAAGGGATCCTAACTGGGATTATGGTACTTATAAGTCTCTAATATAACTACTTACTAAGTCCCCCGACCCTCCAAGTAAGGGCCCAGCGCATCTCGCGCTACTGACTTACGTACGCAACTCGGTAGAGTTCGGCTGGCGAGAGCGGAATTCCAACCCTCTCAGCCTGCTTCTTGTGGAAGTACATCGCCACATGCTGTTGAGAACTCCGATCCAAGCAGACGACGAGCTTGCCATGGCGCACTGCCATATCCTGGGCTTCCAAGTAACCACGGAAAAAAGGTATAAACTTCCATTAAACAAGGGGTTCCCTTTAGGCTCCAAAAAGCATTAAAGTAATGGTACTCCAGAGCCCAGTATCCTGCAAGCAATCCTCCAAGCCGCCTTCCTTGCTGTGCTGGAACCAGGTGTTCACATCCTCTTCCGCTTCACTCTGTGATAAGTTCAAGTCCTGCTATGGGTAGTCATGCACTGGGAGTCTCCGAAACCCCTAAACCCCTAAACCCCTAAACCCTAAACCCTAAACCCTAAGCCCTAAACCCTAAACCCTAAGCCCTAAACCCTAAACCCTACGCCCTAAACCCTAAACCCTAAGCCCTAAACCCTAAACCCTATGCCCTAAACCCTAAACCCTAAGCCCTAAACCCCTAAACCTGACCTGAACCGGTATTGGAGCTTCACAGGCCTGCCTCGAACTCGTTGATGCAGTTGTGTGTGCACAGGCAACATCGCACCTCATGGTCGAGCCCAGAACGCCAAGGAAGGTACGGTGGATGATATAAGCCCTGCATTACCCATTATAAGGCGTATACCATAGGTTCCCATAGTTTAGGGTCCTGGGGGTCATGCAGGATTTCGTCCATCAACAGTATCAGCTTGCAAGTATGTCATCTTCTATTCTATATGTCATCTAACAAAATATTCTAGTATGTCATCTTCTCTTCTAGTATGTCATCTTACAAAGTAGTCTAGTGTAGTGAGCTGGAACCTTGCACTGATTCCAAAGTCCCCGACTTGCAGCAGCAGCAGCAGCAGCGCGTAAAGGCCTCCACCAAAAAAATGCCCAACTCCGTCAAGGGGTTTAGGGTTTAGGCCCCACTCTGTCAAGGCACATAGTGATTTAGGGCCGACAAGATCAGCAACGCGGGTATCACGATGCAAAGGATCAGGAAGATAAGTCCCCCGATGGTCTTGCAGGAGCACACATATCGCACCACTGTGGGGAAGACGAAGACGGCACCATTCCACCAGAACAAATACCTCAGGCAATCAGGAATCATGAGGCACAGGCCTGAGCCTAGTGGTCTTATGTTTGAAATAAGCAAGTCTCTCCATCAACCTCCAATCTCAGAGCCACCCACTTCCAGGTGCCAACTTGCTCAAAGCGCAAACCGCAGTCCAAAGGCTCAGCAGTCACATCCTACAATGTACCTCTATTTACTTAAGGCCATATAGCCTCTATTATCTGCAGCATGGGATCTCTTTCTGCCACAACTGGTTGGGGGCAGGGGTCCCAAACCCTAAGCCCTAAACTGCGAAAACCCTAAACCCCTAAACCCTAAACCCCTTAAACCCTAAACCCCCAAACCCCTAAACCCTAAACCCTTAAACCCTAAACCCTTAAACCCCTAAACCCCTAAACCCTAAACACTAAACCCTTAAACCCCTAAACCCTAAACAAACCCTTAAACCCCTAAACCTCAAACCCCGAAACCCCTAAACAAAATAACGTCGAAAGCAGAGAACTCCAAGGTGCGGGACGCGAGTGCCACTGCCAACGCGCCGGAGGAACTCCACCGAGCCGGCATCTGATTCCTACGGCTGGAGATAATCCGAGGGTTCCTTTAAAGGGATCTATAAGGGGACCTTTAAGGGTTTTTTAAGGAGTCTATAGGGGGTTTAAGGTTTAGGGTTTCGGATTAATGATATAAATCTTGCATTACCCATAATAAGGAATATATCATAATTCCCGTAGTCTAGGGTCCTTAAGGTAATGCAGGATATATATATATATATCATCATCATCATCATCATCATCATCAACCGTAATCCATGGTTGGGATAGCTTTAAAGATGTTAAGGGTTTAGGGTTTAGGGCTTAGGGTTTAAGGTTTTCGTAAGAGGAGGCTACGAAGAAACTATAGGGCGCATAGCATTCAAGATTTTCAGGGTTAAGGCTTTAGGGTTAAGGATATTCCTTCTTGGGTTCAATACCCATAAAGATGTAAAGCGTTATCCAACTCTGACCAAGATTCGATCTCCCCGACGCACAACAAGAGAACCACCGTGGAGATGGTGGAACAAAGGTAGCCAACAGAGCCCACGAAATAACAGATCAGGCTCATGTCATGTAGGCCTGTCACTGCCTCTTGAATTGCACTTTCGCTCAACTGCTGCCCGATCCAACTTTCTTGAAAGGCGAAGCCGCTTCCAGCAAAGTCCTCCTGCAACCAGTCGTCCACGTTGTCATAGGCCATGGGTACCACAATTGTCATCATGAGGGCGCTGATTAGACCTCGGAATCAGCGTCTGCAAAACTCCTACTGTAAGTTCTGGAAGCATGTTGCAATTCCTACTTGATGTTCGAGTCTACACATGCTTCGCTCCGCCGGTTGCCTTTGCCAAGGGACCCATGTTGGTGCATTCATTGACCAAATTGTCCCTGGCTGCGGTGGAAACGCCCTTATCCTCGGTGACGATATTGTCGCTCAAGACCAGGAAGCGTCCACTGAGCATAGCCAACCAAGAAGCGGCAAAGCCTGGGCTGCACGGACTCCAATCAGAGTTTCAAGTTCAAAATCTTGAGAACCCTAAACCCCAAACCCTAAGAAAGGATGAAAGATTAACAACCGATAGAGCCCAGCAAGGCTCCATCTGGAGTTTTTGGGTTCCCTGTCCTTGCCACCTTCCGCTGGGGCAAGAAATCTGCAACCCGCTTGAAGAAGACGCCCTCCAGCTCAGTCTTTTCAGGTTCCTTACGCGGTTTAAGGTTTAGGGTTTACAGTCCTCCAGCTCAGGCTTGTCAGGTTCCTTAGGCGCCACCAACCTTGACATTGCTTCACCTTTCTCCCTTTGGCAAGTAAAGGGTCCCTTGGCTTGGACAAGCCAACAGCGGGTCAGAATGAAAACAACTACCATCAACTTGATGACAAAGGAAGGAGTTGCCTGGATACAACGACAAATATACAGCCCATATTCCAGGATCTCAATACGAATTCCCACCCACATCATTCCGCTTCTGACCATCTTTCACCGCACTCTCCAGGCCAACCAGCTAACTTGCAGCCGAACCGTTCTGCTAGTCTTCGTTTCTCCACCAGTCTTCTCCGCTATAGTCTCTACTCTCTAAAGTCTGCTCTGTTGGTCTACTCGAAATTTCTCACCCAAACTGCTTGCGCCAAGAAGGTGAACGAACCCGCAAACAAAAGCACACACCTATACACACATACACACACACACTAACGCGCACACGCACACGCACACGCACACGCAAACGCACACGCACACGCACGCGCACGCGCACGCGCAACCGCACCCGCACCCGCACACGCACACGCACACACGCACACGCAAACGCACACGCACATGCACACGCACACGCGCACGCGCACGCGCACGCGCACGCGCACGCGCACGCGCACGCGCACGCGCGCGCACGCGCACGCGCACGCACGCGCGCACGCGCACGCACACACCGCACACACGCACACCCACACACACACACACACACACCACACACACACACACACGCACACACACACACACACACACGCACGCACACACACACACACACACACGCACACAAACACAAACACACACACACACATGGACGGAGTTACAATGATACCACCATCTGTTTTCTTCGGGGAAGATCTTGAAGAAGAAGAAGAAGAAGAAAATACCTGCGTATCCTGGGTGTCCTGACGACGACTCAAACCGCACGCATGACAAGCGTGCATCAAAACCCTGTCACCCTCGGCTTGCCAGGTTTTGGCTTGGCCTGGTTGCCACTACTCTCGCACGTCCGTCACCAGACGTCCCTGGTGATATCTTCAGGACACTGTGGAGAGCTTTGTTAGATGGAGCTCCACAGGCCTGCTCAATCCCCCTGCTCGGCTTAAAATCAGGGTGCACACACACACCCCTCATAAGAGGGGAATCTGTCCATCGTGTGCAAGTCCAAATGTTCAGTCCATTGCTGTTAAGAAAAACCTCAAAGCTGGCGAGTCCTGAGAGTGGTCGTCGTCATCGTCGCCGTCAAAGAAGAAAAGGAGAGCAGGCGAGGGAGGAAGGAGATAGCTCGGCTGACAGACGACCAGAAGGAGGGAAGAGGGGAAAGAGAGCGAGAAAAGATGACGATAGCTCGGCTGACACACTGGGAAGACGCCAATCCTTCGTGAGGTCGTCGTGGTCCGTGTCGTCGTCGGAGAGCAAAGGAAGCAAACCACAGCTTAGCAGAATGCAGTCGAGATGCTACCAGCACCCATGAGCTGACACTGATCAACGCTCAAAATCACGCTCCTTCATGAGCACCATGCGACTGCTCGAGTCACCGGGGGACCTTTTGGGCACGAAAGCCCATCTCCTGACAAAACCGGGGCGCCATTCCACCGTTGGCCCGATAGGAGCGGTTGGGCCTATCACCTGAAGAAGCTGGCCACCATAAAGTGCAGTACGCTCCATTAGTCTGTCCCGAAGAACATCACGGGCCAAGCACACTTGTCAACGAAACAAAGCAATGAACATGCGGTGGAGCAGAGGTACCACCAACAGGCACACTGGGAATAGCACATCAATGTCATCGCCGTCATTCTCATCTGTGTGTCGAAGGGGAGGGGAAGGGGAAGGGGCCATGCGGTTCCCTGTGTTGTGGGCTATCCTCCCCCCCAACCCCTCTGGCTGCCTGTCTTGTGGCTCCATGTGCTGTGGGTTATCCCTCCCGCCCGCCCCCCACCCGCTTTATAAGGCGCCGTGGGGAACGTCGACAGTTACGCGGATGACGTGTGACTGTTTGCTTAGTTTGCTTGGTCGAGATTCCTGACTTGGGGGGGGTTGCGATGCGGCGCGCGGCACCATATATGGTCACGCGCTCCGCAGCCCCCCCCCCCTCCCCCCCCAAAGGTCAATGGTCCGGATATAGGGTGGGGCCCCCCCTCCCCTGTGGTGTGGGGTGTGGGGTTCCTCTTCCCCCTGTGGATGTTGTGGGGTTTTGGGGTTTAGGGTTTAGCTTAAGCTTTTGAGTTTTGGGTTTACGGCTACAAGGTATAAGGCTTCGAGTCGACAAGGGCTTAGGGAGGATTTGCAGTGTATGCTTTGCTTTAGGCTTAGAGCCTGCAGTTAGGTGGGGTTTGGGGTTGGGTGTAGCGTTTTAAGTACAAGTTAAGTTGCTCAAAACCGGGCACGCGCTGCGTCATAGGGTTTACGGCTTGCTTGCGAAGGGCTTGCGCGTGAGCCCTGGCCGCCAGCACCACCCCAGCATCCAGTGGCAGCTCCAACGGCCCCAACCCCTTTCCGCACACGCCAGCCCCCCCCCCCCACCCCTGTCAGACCATACCATTGATTGGGGGGGGGGCTGGGAACGCCAGACGCCTGACCATATATACGAACACACACACACACACACACACACACACACACACACGTACACACACACACACACCCCGAGACACACAGACACACACCGACACACGGAGACAAACACACATACACAGACAGAGAGACAATCACAGACAAAGAGACATACACACACATACGGGTCTTGAACACATATACGTGTCCAAGCCGCCGCTTCCATCCCGGCGGGAGGTGATGGCATTATATGGTGGGGGATACCGATGAGCACTAAACGCCTGCGAACATGCTTTCACAGTCGAGCACTCCTTTGCTTGCTAGGACAGCACTTGCAGGTTCTTAGGCTGCCTTTTTCGTGGCAGCAGCCCCATTCGTCATAACATAGGCGCCTTAATAATTCGAACAGGGGTTCGGGGAGCATTATACAGTAATTAACGTTAATACGGAACCCCCAAAATAGTATAGGTAATTATTAAGGCCCCTATATTAACCACAAGATGAAAGCAAAGGCTTTGATGCCGAGGCAAACCATCCCCTTCGAGTTTGCTTCACCTGTCAATGCCCAACAAGTCATCTCACGCTTCACGCATGGAACATTCTAGGGCCGGCACCCCTGCGTAACGGTTGATGATATAAATCCTGCATTACCCATAATAAGGAATATACCACAAATCCCATAGCTCCGGGCCCTTCTCTGTGTGTATGATGGGGGCCTTCAGAATTAGCATGGGATTCTTTAAAGGGCTCTGTAAATGGTTCCATGAAGGTTTACGATAATGTATGTGAGGGTGGCTGAAGACTTGGAAGAATTGGAACAGGTTTTTTCGCGGGATATGGTATACAGTATACTTCGGTTGATGGTATAAATCCTGCATATGAACTCTTACTGTATGGGGGCAGTACCTAACTTAGAGCCAATCAACACGCGAGATCCGGCCTGATCCCGCCGGGCTGAGGATGAAATCCCTTCCAGGACGTTTCAGGGTTTGGGGGTTAGGATTTAAGAGTTGGGGTTTAGGGTTTAGGGTTTAGGGTTTGGGGGTTTGGGTTTAAGAGTTAGGGTTTAGGGTTTGGGGTTTAGGGCTTAAGAATTAGGGTTTAGGGTTTAGGGCTTAAGGATTTAGGGTTTGGGGTTTAGGGTTGAAGGACTAGGGTTCAAAATATTCCTTGGTGAGGGACCCGGTGTCGGGCAATTGCAATGTCCTCAACCGGCATTTTCAATGGGAGCCACCCCAATAAAAACACGTCTCTTCCAGTCTTACCTCGACATATAGTCTTCGTGTGAGTGTGTAGTATGACAAACGGTGTGCCCCCAAATCCTTTTCCAGCCAAGCCTGTGCGGTAATGTCAGACACATTAAAGCAATGAGGCCTTAAGGACTCGCACCGAAAAGTCTCGTAAGCAAACAAAGCCCAAACAACAAAGGGAAATCAAAGATAAAACATGAATGAGTGTGAGATGTGTCACATAGGTTCCCCGAAAAAGCAAGTGCAAGCCAAGCCAAACATAACCAAACCAACTCACGCTGCTTTAAGATCAGCACTCTTACAAGCCCTTGTCTACCCCGAAAATGCTAGCAGAAGACCCTGTGAAACAGAGTACAACAGAAGACCCTACATAGCAGGACGCCGTACCTAACTCTACACTCTGTCTACCTAACCCTAAACTCTGTCTTGCACAAGACCCTGCATGTAAACGTGTCAAAAACAAATGTGTGCGAATAGTAACTGTTTATGTAGAACAGATGTATATGTATATATATATATATATGTACAGATGTATACAAACAGATAAAGCAGGAACGGCAAGAAGTTCCTAAAGCAAGTTTACTCATACACTTGTATTTGTAAACGAATAGTATGCATAATGAACCGAATGAAAACAATGCTAGTAGTAATGAAAACAAAATATAATATTTAGAAACAACAGTTATCATCATGATCATGATCATCGTCATCATCTTGTTGTAGTTGTCATCGCCGTTTAGTGATAACCAGAAAGCTGGTAATGATGATGGTGCTGGGCAAGTTCAATGCGAATGATAACAAGAACCATACGAGTAAAGGCAAAACAACAACGATGAAACTCCAAAAACCAACACTTTTCTGCTTCTCATGATTATCATACAAATTTTCAATATCGTGAGTTCCAAACCCTAAACCCTAAATCCTACTCAAACCCTACAACCCTCAACTACCAAGGCCCCAGGCCCTGAACCCTAAACCGCCAAGACCCTCAAATCCCAAACTACCCCAAGCCTCAAACTACCAAGACCCCTAACCCCAAATTCTAATATCCGAAAGGCAGTCATATCAGGCCTTAATAATTAGAATATGGTTTTGGGATACATATTTACTATCCTGTAAATATCATCAAGAGCCACAAAATAATTTATTCATGTGGGTGGTTGTCAAAATTGTGGTCCCTCTTTGGGTCCCTAATATAATACGGCACCTAACATTTAGGGTACCCAAAAATCGAACCATGATTTTGAGAGCTACCCATGTACTCAAGCCCCCTATACGAAACATCAAGACCAGGCCTTCAACTCGGCCAGGACGAGGCATGGTGCCGGTCCAGGCTGCGGCCTCATCGGCTTTAGGGTGTAGGGTTTAGTGCTTAGGGTTTAGTGTTTAGGGTTGTGGGTTTCGGGTTTAGGGTTTAGGGTGTAGGGTTTAGTGTTTAAGGTTTAGTAAGTTGGGTTAGAAGTACCCTAATTGGGGTTATAAGTTATTATAAGTATAGTTACCCTAATTGTCACCCCAGCTACTAAGTCCCATGACCCTTTAAGTAGCGAGGTTATAAGTTAGAAGTCCACGGCTTGGGGCTTGGGATTAGGGCATCAGTTACCTAAATTGAGGTTACGTTTGGATGATTACTACAGCTGCTTTATTTCGGTGCTTATTTGTCGAGAAGTCCGTGGCAACGATCCCTCTGCCGTTTCAATTCACATAGGATCCTTCATACTTAGATGAGGGGCCTCAAAAGGTGGGATGAAGGTAGGTGGGGTAATCCCAAAATGAGAGTCCTCATATAAGGGAACCTTAATCCTACCTACCTTGATCCCACCTTAGTGTCCCACCCTTTGGAGGCCTCCGATTAGAACATGGTTTGCGGGTCTACTGTAGCACACGCATTTGATAATAAGGAGCCCGAAGGAATATTATTAATTATCAGTAAATATGCATGGAATTCATGCGCCTATATTGAATCATCGCCCTTTGTAGGAAGGTTTCAGTTAGGGCCAGGCCCATCAAAATATGAATCCTTGAAGCCTTAACCCGCACCCTAACCCCAAAACGCCCTCAACACATAAGGCCCCAAACCCTAAACCCGGTAAGCCCCAACATCCTAGAACCTTAAACCCGAAAACGCCTTCAACTACAAACCCTCAGCTTGTCAAGCACAAAATAGTCCCGAAACACTGCGATCCTTGACGCAAGCAAGGACTCCAAAACAGTTTATGTTTAGTATCTAGGGCTATTTTTGACAAACCCCCAAAGCTCTGAAAAAAAACAAGAGCCCCTCGACAACAATATGTATATATATATATATATATAAAACCCTATTAACATGAATTGGCCCTAAAAACTCAACTTCTACGCAGCAAGAGTTTGCAATGAACTGCCGAGGCCGATACGGCGAGAAGTGCTCCCTCGGGTTGAGGAAGGGACCCCCTCCGCCTCGGCTTTGCGGGTGTTGAGGGGGTGCATGTAGGGGGTCGTCTAGGGTTCAGGGTTTAGGGTCGGAGGATAGCTGCCCACACAGATTTAAGTTTTGGGGGGTCTGGAGTTTAGGGTTAGGGGCTGGAGGATAGTATCGATGGTATGGGTTCAGGCTTGAGGTACGAGCTTTGGGGAGAGTTCTATGAGGGTCGTAGGGTTCCATCAAGGGGTTTGGGATTGAGAGCTTTAGGGTTTAGGTGCTAAGGGCTTTGCAGGTATATAAGTGTTCAATGAATAATGCAAGAATCTATACAGGTTCTTTACGTTCGGGGTTCATGAGGCTGGGGCTATGGAGTTGGGAGGTTTTGCCGGTTTAGAGTTTAGCGGTGGGGTGGGGGTTGGCCGGAGGCGCGGCCGCATTTAGTGTTGAGCGTTTTGGGTTGGGTCAGGGACTGACGGACGGTCTAAGGCTCGGGACTTATGAAGATCGAGTTCCTTCTCCCCTGGCCTGGAGAGTTAAGGAATTCTTAAGTCCGGGATCACTGTTCGGAGATCTTCTGTCTGGTTCTTGGTAAGGAATGGGGGATGGATCCTTATAGTAGTCCCTATATAATCCCCAGTAACAGTCCCCATAATCCATTCCCCCATTCCCTACTAAGCACCAGGGAGGTCTTGTATAATCAAGATCCGACTAAGTGCCTTCGGGGTTTCCGGGCCGCTCCTCTTCCGGGCTTTCCCCGCTTGCAGGCTGCTGAGTGCAAGGAGGCAGGAGGGAAGCCAAGTTTAGGGTTTATGGTTTAGGGTTTAGGAAGGACCGCAAGTTTGGTCCAATTCCTGCACCTTTATCAAAATCCCTCAACACCAAAACCCGGAGTACACCCCCTCTTTGAGCTTCCCGGCTAGGCTCTACATGTTGGGATCAAGCTTGGCCTCTCGAACGGTTTGGTATTTATGAGGGTTTAGTAGGGTAGTCTCGCACACAGAACTGCGACGTAAAACTTGCCCACAGTGTCCAAGAACCTGAGGTTACGAAGCATTCCTTAAACCATAGAGGGATTCTTCATAACGTGATCTCAGGTATATCCGGAAATGCAACCAAGGATCCCGTACTGAAAGGGCAGTAACACTAACACCCCTAAAACCTAAACCCTGAACCCTAATCAACCCTGTTACTGAGAAGAAATTGCAATAATTGCGCGGATCGCCTTATCAAGCCCAAAATAAACCCTATGTCCTCAACCCTATGAGCTGCAGATCTGCTCTTTGAACCTGAAACAGTAAACCCTAAACCCTGAACCCTAAACCCTAAACCCTGAATTCTGAAGCCTAGACCATAAACTCGATTCCTTGACTCAACCCTCCCTAGTGTTCTGCTTGAACTACCTCTAAGGTCGCTCGGACGCATTAAGGGGTTTGGGGTTGAGGGTTCAGGGTTTAAGGGTTTAGGAGTTTAGGGGTTTAGGGTTCAGGGTCCTAGATCATGAAAGGGTTTAGGGCCAAGTTTAAGGGTTTAGGGCTTAGGGCTGCGAGGGGTCCGAGACTTTGGGGTTTAGGGCTTCGGGCTTAGGATTGAAGGTTTAAGGTTTAGGGTTTACTGTTCAAGGGTTTAGGGGCGTAGCTCATACTCAGGGCACGGCGATGGGCTAGGAGTGGTCAACGGTGACACGTGGGCATCATGGCTCGTTCGACCCTCCTTTCTTCCTACCTTTCACTTGAACAGAGCTGCAAGTGAATCGATGACCAGGGCTCTTGCCCAGAGACTCCAAAACCCCTTAATTAAGGAATAGACCTTACACCATGCATAATAGGATCCCTAATATGATTTACGGTATATTCCTTGATCAAGGGGTTTGGAGTCTCCGGGTGATTCAATTTGCGTTTGGGGGAACTTGCTGAGACCGGCACTGTTCTACGTAATACTCCTCGAAGTCTTAATCCTAAACCTTAAAACCCAAAAGCCTAAACCCCTCAACCCTAAACCCTGAAACCCTGAAGCCCTAAACCCCTGACCCTTAAACCCTAAACCCTTAAACCCTAAACCCTACATTCTGCACAGTACAGCCACCCAAGTTGATCTCAGCACCACCCTGCATCCCACTGCTGCCGTTGAGGCTTGTGATACTTGTTGTTGCTAGCAACAAACAGGTTTAGGGTTTAGGGCTCATAGGGTTTATAGAGGGGGTTTTAAGATTGCAGTAACGGCTTACCCTGGACCCCCAAAGTATGTAGAATAATAGCCCTTTTAAGGTATTGGGCCATTATTGTACCTACTTTGGGGGGTTTAGGTAGCAACAACGAGAAGAGTGACAATGAGAGTAGCAGCAGAAAAGCCGGCGTAGTTCTAGCAAAACCAACCGCCATACTAACGGCCATAGCAGCGAAAGTCGAAGTAGTGATAGTTATAGCAATAGTCAAAATAATAGTCAAAGCACCAATCACACTTCATGATGCTAAGCATGGCACGCGCCAACAACAAGTGCACAGTCTAAACGTCAAGACAGACAGAGCAGGAGGTTTGGTCATATTATGGGCTTGAGATTGCTCCTGTCGTCTTTCTGCGGGTGCTGTGGCTTTTTGGATTCTTAAGATTCTGGCTAGGGTTGAGGGCTCAAGGCTGTGAGTGCGAGCCAGTTTGGTCCAGAGAGTTTTCCTAGTTGCCAATCTTTTAGGCAGCATCAACTCCCAAAAACACGTAAGCCCAAAGCCTCGACACGTGTATTGTACTATTGCAGTTTCTTCAACAGCCAAAATACAAGCACCATCATGCTCCTTGTTCTGGGCGGCGGGGCTTAAGGTGCAGAACTTTCCCATCCCTGGCGTTACCAACTTGGATACTGTTGATGATATAAATCCTGCATTACCTTAAGGACCCTAAACTACGGGAATTATGGTATATTCCTTATTATGGTAATGAAGGATTTATATCATCAACCGTAGCAGCCGCGATCCCCCCTCTGCATCTAAGTCGATTTCTTCGCCGCCACACATTGCTCTCGAAGGCAGCTCTGCTCATTCGACCGTCATTTGACCTGTACTTGGCACGAGGCAGGAAGCCCGGATGCGCCGTGCCAGCCGCCTCTCCTTGCAAGCCTGGCAAGACTTGACAAGAGGCTTTTTCTTCCCATCTCCTGGTGATGGGGCTTCCCTGGAGCCGCCATGACGCTGAGACCACGTTGTGGGTACCCGAAATAAGCAGGCGAGCGCTGAGATTTGGTCTCGGCGGCCGGGAGGTGGGTGGAGGAGAGTAAGAGCTGCAAATCCGGGCCATAAGATTCCTGGAAGGACCCGGCTGCCTGTGCGAAAGAAGCGCGGAGTTCCTGGTGCTTCAGAAATTTCTGGAAGACCACGGCCAGGATTATTCGGATTGCTGCAGGATTTCTCCAAGCCCACAAAGGGCTCATGTCAAAAGGACCTAGACCCCAAAAGCCTGAAACGGAAGGTTTTGGAGTGTAGTGCTGAGGCCTCAGGGCGAAGCCGGCAACAAGCAACGCAGAAGTCGACTCGGATAGATGGTAGGGCTTGGAAGGCCGTTGGTGATATGTTACAGGCCCATCCTGCTCACACCAGGAGGCATTCTCAGACCCTCTTACACCGAGAAAACCATAGCAGACTAGCCAAAGCCTAAAGGTTCGATCCCCTCAACCCTAAACCCATAGTAGCCCTTAAAAGGTACCCTTAAAGATCCCTTAAAGGAACCCACGTTACAGATGAACCCCCTAAACCCTAAACCCTAAATTCTTGAAGAGATCTGGGCTGGGCTCTTGAGCGCCTCAGGCTCTGGGAAGATCTTTCCAGCGTTAACGTCGTGCGAAGCTGCGACGTCTGCGCAACAACACTGACAAAGAGCGCGAGTGAAGAGAGGGAAGGAAGCGCATCTGAAGCACGCCACTTCGGGATTTCGGACTTGCTCGATTCAAGCGGCCTTGTCTGCACATATTCTGCCCCATCCAACTGCGGCGAGGAAGGTCTCCGCCCCATAGGAAGCCGCGCTTCAAAGGCCGAAGATGTACAGCAGGCTCAACAGCTCCCGACACACACCTCTACGGTTGATATAAATTTTAGGGTTCCTTTAAAGGGATCTATAAGGGTACCTTTAAGGGGTTCCTTTAAGGGATCTATAGGGTTTTAGGGTTCAGAGATATAAATCCTGCATTACCCATAATGGGGAATATGCCATAATTCCCATAGTTTCGGGTCCTTAAGGTAATGCAGGATTTATATCACCAACAGTAGCACCCCCTTGAAAAGAAGCTTCGGATCCGGGCCCCAACACACATTTCGAGGCACTCAAACGCCGAAGCGGAAGCCCCGCAACAGTTTGCGACACCTCGCGGTCACAGAAATCACACGCACACAAACGGACATGAAGGCCTCACATGGGAAGAGGTCGTCGACAGCCGCGGAGATTCCAACAACGGAAGAAAGTTGCAGGACAGGTGCACTTGTGTTTCACATCTGCGAGACCTGGGATCTTGGAACCAAAATTGGTCGTGCCAGGCAGTTTCTGAAGCAGGGAGGAATCCTGTGTGGCTACATCTCGGGCTACTCACATGCCTCCCAAGCACGCTTCTTATTCCGTGACTACTTTGGCTTCAGGGCCTGGACAAGTGGCCCGAAGAAGCCATACTTAGGCCAGGGAGAGGGGGGCCGAGAGAGCTTTTGTAGGTCCGGTGCAGAGGAAGCCGGAGAATCGGCCGAAGGCGGTACCGCCCCCAGACTCCTCGAGCCACGACTCTTTGGGTTTTGTTGGCTCTCGTGCCCGACAGGGACACGCATAGTGAAGTCCTATCGCTTGCTACCGCCTGCAGACTCCTTCGTTCTGCTCGTGCGCGGAGCAAGTCAATACCAGAGAAAAAGGGCTTCAGGGTTTAGGGTTTAAGGGTTTCGGGTTTAGGGACCAGCTGTGGCAAGAAGAGCGAGGGAAGCTGCCCAGGAGCAGGTGAAAGCAGTCGGCCAGCTGCGATCAAGCTGAGTCTGGAGTCGAGCCCAAGCAGCCGATGCGAACAGAGCTGCCACCTATGCTACCGAAACTCCTCGGCAGACAAGCCGCGAGTGTCTTCGACAACAAGGTCGCAGCTGGGTGAGGCAGGCAGTGCGGCCACGGCAACATGAAGGGGCTTCTTATAACCAGGGTCATTTATTTGGGGATCCTTGCAATAAGGGTCCTACATCGGTATTACGTCCCCTTGCTGATTGAAACTCCCACGTCTATGTAAGCTGGCAGTTGAAGACCCATAAGCTTCGCTTTCGAAGGAACTTGGACATGAGAGTCAGAGCATGTGATCTCTCTATCAGACTGGTCCATGTCAAGTCTTACAGTCTTACAGTATACAGTTTAGGGGGTAAGGTTTCGGACTTAAATGTGACTTTCCGGAGGTCCTGCGTCATGTGAGTCCGGTTGCAAAGTGGCCCGGGTGGATACGAAGGCTGTGAAGGAGCACCCTGACCCCCGAAAGCCTGCCGATTTAGGACTCCTTTAGCAGTCCTTCGAAATTTAAGCTATTTGGGGGGTTCAGGTAGGCATGGGAGATACTGTTGCTCTGGGCGCCTCGAAGCAGGAATGAAGAATGAGCTAAGTTGAATCCGCTTGCTGTGAAGCTCAGTAGACATACAAACTCACAATGCTCCATGCATGCATGAAAGTGCCCGAAACTCCAAACCCTAAACCCCTACAGGGAGCTCCAGAAAGTTGGAATATGGTTTCATGGTAGGATACCCTATAATTTACCATAGAAGGGTTAGGATAATCATATTCCAACTTTCTGGCTTCTACCTTAAACCGTCGCTGCTGGGTGTGCTTGGAAGTTAGATAAGAGAGAGCCGAGCCTGATGAAAGTGTGAGCATGCTCTCCCAAAACATTGCTCCGAAGTGTGCGACGCTTCAACGGCAGAAGATCCCCAAAGTGGTCGAATGTCCGGCTTTGGGCCATTTGGAGCCTCAAAAGCAAGGAATCGAGACTCCGGGCCCTGGATTTGGAGAGACCTGCACCACTCGGGTGTAGCTCTGCGTTGCCGGCCCGCTAAATCCTGATCCAGTAGTATGGCATGGACCGGGAGGGGTCGGAAAGATGCAGGCTTCCTCTTTCGAGCACATCGCACTCACGGGGGTTGGCAACAGTTCAGCTTAGACAACGACTTGTGCATGGGCCACCCTCGACACTTGCAGCCTAGCTTGTTGTCCCGGAGCTCAAAACAGAAAGCGAATTCTGCAAGATGATGGCTTGAGCTACCAACCCCGCGACGCCGCTGTCAGAGTCGAGAGGACATGCAATCACAAGAACAGATGACGACTTCGGAACCTTAATCATCTTACACGCTTAGTGCGTAGGGAAGTTTAGGGTTTAGGTATCAGGAGAGTATGCTATCAAGGGCATCTGAAGCCGTCAGGAGTGTGCAAGCAGTCTCGGAAATCCCGGCGGCCCCCTGCAGCGTTGCGCTGCGGAGAGGACAAGTCCGCCACTAGCTGGCTCTCACAGATCGACAGAGGCTCCGTTGAAGAGCTGGGCACAACGAGAACTGCGCCGTGGGGCACGAGCGACATGTTTGGGAACGCCAACCTGTCCGAAGCTTCTTGCAAAGGAGAAATCCGCAACATTCACAGCGCCAGAAGAATCGGACCGGCAATATAATCTGCCATGTGAACAATACCTCTATGCACGTCTAAGCCTTTCGGACGTTCTTCGAGAACATCGGCCCTTTGGCTGGAGCACAGCAGTTTATCTTAGGGCTTATAAAGGCTCAATGCTTACAGGGTTTATTGGGTACAGGGCAACATGTGAGCTGAGTTCAGCCTGAACAGAGTGCCCTGGTTGATGGGGACCTTGTGTCGAAACGGCACAGAACCTGAGGCATGCACGTTGACAGTGAGGGCACGCCAAGCACACAAAGACAGGATGTCGTGCGAGAGTCAAGAATCCGACTTGGCAAGTCCGCCATCAGCCAGCTTTCAAACTCCGCAGCAGTCACTGCAAACCCACTGACCAGCTCGGCAAGGCATCTTTAAATGGTTCGCAAGGCTAAGAGCGATTGTCAACTTTTCCTGACATTCAAGACAATGTCAACCTCAGCAGGACACTTCCAAGCTGCAAACTTTGCCCTCGATGCTGCACTGAAGGCTTGGCACCTCCAGGGGAAAAATGCCGCAGAAGGCCTCAGCCCACATACCGCAACACAAGCCCCCAAGAGGAGGCTGGCCAATGACGGCATCTTCACCTCGTGATGGGCCAAGAAGAGCTCACTGGCCTCGCGCACGCCTGCGTTGTCCACATTTACGTCGAGAGGGGGCCCTCTCACCGGGGCCAGCGTGGCAAGCGCCCGCACCGCACCTGAAGGGCGAGCTTCTGTTCGAGGAGGCAGCTCACCGTTGCCGAATTCAAAGCCCAGGCCATGAGGGTCCCGTTCCCGTTTCTGCTGAGACCATGGGCAGCCTTCCTGCAGACGGCAACCTCGTCAATGGTCCATGTGGGTCTCCATCATCGGCGCGTGCCTGCACAACGCAAAGAGTCATGTAACGGCTCAGGCTATAAATTGAGTCTCGCAGTAGCCCTCATCTAGCCAGTGCGGCTAAAAGCTAAGCAAGAGCAGCCTGAACCTGCACACAAGGGTAGATGTCAACAGCCTGGGCATCGAAACCGCAGCAGCAACACGCTGAGAAATCAAACACATCACATCAGCGGTCAACCCGAACTTTCACAGGACAAGCAAATGCGCTCGTAGTTGGGTTTAGGATTTGGGGTTTAGGGTTGAAGGCTCGTGGTTGGTTCCTCCCATGTACTCTGCTTAACGATGCAACATTCCCGCGGGCGCTTTCCCGCTCCCCAATAGCATGCTGACAGAACGAACCTAAATCCAAACCACTAAACCTGAAGCCTTAAACTCTAAACCCTGAACCAGATTCAGTGTCTCTAATCGCTCCTTCACAGCTCGCCGCGTCAAGACGTCTTCACGGTTTTGGGGTCTTTAAAGGTTCTGAGGAATCTAAAGGGTTGTTTTGAATTTAAGTTTCAGGTGTTAGGGTTTGCGGCTGCAGGGGCTTCTTGCCTGGATCATCGAAGTGTCTGGGTTTTGGGGTTTAGCGGCTGGGAAAAATATCGGGTTTAGGGTTTAGGGGACTTCGATCATGAAAACAGACTTAGCATTCGAAGAGTTTGCAGGGGTTCGGAGCAGCGGGAGATCCGTTTCTCTACTTCAACATTTGGCTCTGGTTACACACCAGAGAACACCAGGAGCCTAAAATCATGCTCCTGTGGAAAGTAGTCCCACGCCCCGAAGCTAAACACTTATGCTCAGCGCGCGGCGATGGGACAGGAGGCGTCTACCTCCTGGCTTCCTACCTGTCGCTTGAACAGAGCTGCAGGAGAAGCAAGCAGGCGCTCAAGGATCAGTCGCGGACCTTCTTGAGGCACACAGTCGCCGCACGACGACCTAAAGGGAACTCCAGAAAGTTGGAATATGGTTTCAGGGTAGGATACCTTATAATTTACCGTAAAGGGTTTAGGATAATCATATTCCAACTTTCTGGCTTTTACTTTAGAAGCTGTCCCCGCCCTGTAATAGTGGTATAATAGGAACATAATAGGGCCCGAATATAATCCTTATAGTCACTATTACAGTGTAGGGGCAGCTTCTAACTTTTACTTTAGTAAGTAGCAAATTATGGCAAAGGACCATGTCAAGGTTGCACCTTACGCCCCCACGCAACTGGCTTTCAGACCGTGGGAACCACACTGAATCAATGCTGCTTGGTTCTGTGGGTGCTGCTATTGGGAGCTTGCTGCAGATGTTCGGACAAAGGAAATGTTCCCTAAACCCTCAACCCCTAAACCCCAAAACACCTAAACGCTAAACCCTAAGCCCTAAATCCCTAATCCCGAAATGCTCCTTTGTGCTTTTGGTGATGGACACCCCAGGCCAGACCCAGTCCACTGAATTACGAACAGCCTTATAAACCCCCCCCATGACAGCAACGTTTAGGATTAAGGGTTTACAGGTTTAGGGCTTAGGGCTTACAGGTTTAGGTTTTACAGGTTTAGGGTTTACAGGTTTAGGGTTTACAGGTTTACAGGTTTAGGGTTTAGGGCTCATAGGGTTTATAGAGAGGGTTTTAAGATTGCAGTAACGGTTTACAAGAATGACAGCAACAACAAGAAGAGTGACAATGAGAATAGCAGCAGAAAAGCCTGCGTAGTTCTAGCAATACTGACCGCCATACTAAGGGCCATAGCAGCGAATTGTAGCCACAGTCAAGGGGACCAATCACACTTCATGATGCTAAGCATGGCACACACCAACAATAAGTGGACAGTCTAAACGTCAAGACAGACAGAGCAGGAGGTTTGGTCATATGGGCTTGAGATTGCTCCTGTCGTCTTTCTTCTGGTGCTGTGGCTTTTGGATTCTTAAGATTCTGGCTAGGGGTGAAGGCTCAAGGCTGTATGTGCGAACCAGTTTGGTCCAGAGAGTGTTCCTAGTTTTAGGGTTTAGGGTTTAGGGTTTAGGGTCCAATCTTTTAGGCAGCATCAACTCCCAAAAACACGTAAGCCCAAAGCCTCGACACGTGTATTGTACTATTGCAGCTTCTTCAACAGCCAAATACAAGCACCATTATGCTCCTTGTTCTGAGCGCTGGGGCTGAAGGTGCAGAACTTTCGCATCCCTGGCGTTACCAACTTGAATAGCAGCCGCGATCCCCCCTGCATCTAAGTCGATTTCTTCGCCGCCAATTGGACCGTCATTTGACCTATATTTGGCACTAGCCAGGATACCCAGATGAGCCGTGCCAGCCGCCTCTCTTTGCAAGCCTGGCAAGACTTGACAAAAGGTTTTTTCTTCCCATCTCCTGGCGATGGGGCTTCCCTGGAGCCGCCATGACGCTGAGACCACGCTGTGGGTACCCAAAAAAAGCAGGCACGTGGTGCGGCTTGGCCTTGATCAGGAGATACTGGCCTGCAAGGGGGACAGGCGCGGCGCTGATGTGCGTTCGCAAAGACAGGGCCGAGAGCTTCTGACCTGAAGGTACCAGGTTTGCTACACAGTCCTTAGTCGTCCTGAGCCTTCGTCTTCTGCGCGGTGCTTTTGACAAGGCAGCGGTGAAGCTGCTTGGCCAACATGGTGTCGATCCCTCGGCCACTTGAGCCCTTCGAGCACACTTCTTTGTCTATTCCAGTGCCCCACACTGGCTTGTGCCCCAGGTCGAGTTGAGCCCGGAGGACGAAGCGCACTTGTCCGGCTTGGGCGACTCAGAGCGGGGAGGCCCAGAAAGGCTGAGGTGGCTGAGGCCCCTTAGGCCGTAGCCAGTCTTATCTGGAGCTACTGAGATGACGGAAGTGAAACCAAGGCTGATCGATGCTTTGGTTCAGAAGATACCAGAGCAATCCAGCGAGCAGCCCCTTGGAGTTGAGAAGCGAAGCAAAGCAGAAACCTTGAGCATTTTGTCATGCCGCGGGCCAGTTTGCTTCCTCGCCAGGTTCCAAGCCATTTTTCTGGAGCTCCAGCTCGTGGTGCTCGGCACCGAGCAATGTGTCGGAGGGGAGCAGCGAGAAGCATGGCCACCTCGGCGCCTCTGCCTGCCAGTCGCAAAGCCGCATTTGCTTCGCAAGGTCTGCTGCTCTCCGGATCCGCAAGGGCTTGGAGGCGCTGTTTTCTAAAGCAGAGACTGGTCTGCTCAAGTCTTGGCTGAGGAAGCCAGGCCAGAGGAGGTCTCACAAGCCTTAGATGACGTGGAGCTGTCCAATGTCGGGCCACACGCTCCTCGGCATGACCTTCGTTTCGTGCTCGAAGGGCAACAGGGAAGAAGAGATTCTTTCTTTTAGCGGCATCTGCTGGTCGAAGGTCATGAAGATGGCTGTCGTCCAGGGCAGGCCTTCGGCCCCGACCGCTTGTCACTTGCCGGCTTGAGCATTCCGTCTGAGCGCCACTTCCCAGGCAGGCGAGCGCTGAGTTTTGGTCTCGGCGGCCGGGAGGTGGGTGGAGGAGAGTACGAGCTGCAAATCCGGGCCATAAGATGCCTGGAAGGACCTGGCTGCCTGTGTGAAAGAAGCGCGGAGTTCCTGGTGCTTCAGAAATTTCTGGAAGACCACGGCCAGGATTCGGATTGCTGCAGGATTTCTCCAAGCCCACAAAGGGCTCATGTCAAAAGGACCTAGACCCCAAAAGCCTGAAACGGAAGGTTTTGGAGTGTAGTGCTGAGGCCTCAGGGCGAAGCCGGCAACAAGCAACGCAGAAGTCGACTCGGATAGATGGTAGGGCTTGGAAGGCCGTTGGTGATATGTTACAGGCCCATCCTGCTCACACCAGGAGGCATTCTCAGACCCTCTTACACCCAGAAAACCATAGCAGACTAGCCAAAGCCTATAGGTTCGATCCCCTCAACCCTAAACCCATAGTAGCCCTTAAAAGGTACCCTTAAAGATCCCTTAAAGGAACCCACGTTACAGATGGACCCCCTAAACCCTAAACCCTAAATTCTTGAAGAGATCTGGGCTGGGCTCTTGAGCGCCTCAGGCTCTGGGAAGATCTTTCCAGCGTTAACGTCGTGCGAAGCTGCGACGTCTGCGCAACAACACTGACAAAGAGCGCGAGTGAAGAGAGGGAAGGAAGCGCATCTGAAGCACGCCACTTCGGGATTTCGGACTTGCTCGATTCAAGCGGCCTTGTCTGCACATATTCTGCCCCATCCAACTGCGGCGAGGAAGTTCTCCGCCCCATAGGAAGCCGCGCTTCAAAGGCCGAAGATGTACAGCAGGCCCAACAGCTCCCGACTCACACCTCTAGCTTCGGATCCGGGCCGCAGCACACATTTTGAGGAAAGCCGGGTCTGAGGCCAAGGTCCCTCAAACGCCGAAGCGGAAGAAGCCACCACAGTTTGCGACACCTCGCGGTCACCTATCGGCGAGACCTCCGGAAATCACGCACACACAAACGGACATGAAGGCCTCACATGGGAAGAGGTCGACAGTCGCGGGGATTCCAAGAATGGAAGAAAGTTGCAGGACAGGTGCACTTGAGTTTCACATCTGCGAGACCTGGGATCTTGAAACCAAGACTGGCCGTGCCAGGCAGTTTCTGAAGCAGGGGGGAATCCTCTGTGGCTGCATCTCGGGCTACTCACATGCTTCCCAAGCACGCTTCTTATTTCGTGACGACTTTGGCCAGGGCCTGGACAAGTGGCCCGAAGAAGCCATACTTAGGCCAGGGGGAGGGGCCGAGAGAGCTTTTGTCAGGTCCGGTGCAGAGGAAGCCGGAGAATCGGCCGAAGGTGGTACCGCCCCAAGACTCCTCGAGCCACGACTCTTTGGGTTTTGTTGGCTCTCGTGCCCGGCAGAGACACGCATAGTGAAGTCCTATTGCTTGCTACCGCCTGCAGACTCCTTCGTTCTGCTCCTGCGCGGAGCAAGTCAATACCGGAGAAAAAGGGCTTCAGGGTGTAGGGTTTAGGGTTTAGGCGTTTAGGGTTTAGGGCTTAAGGGTTTAAGGGTTTAGGGTTCAGGGACCAGCTGTGGCAAGAAGAGCGAGGGAAGCTGCCCAGGAGCAGGTGAAAGCGCATGGCAAGGTGAAAGCAGTCGGCCAGCTGCGATCAAGCTGAGTCTGAAGTCGAGCCCAAGCAGCCGATGCTAACAGAGCTGCCACCTATGCTACCGAAACCCCTCGGCAGACAAGCCGCGAGTGTCTTCTACAACAAGGTCGCAGCTGGGTGAGACAGGCAGTGCGGCCACGGCAACATGAAGGGGGTTCTTATAACCAAGGTAATTTATTTTGGGATCCTTGCAATAAGGGTCCTACATCGGTATTACGTCCCCCTGCTGATTGAAACTCCCACGTCTATGTAAGCTGGCAGTTGAAGACCCATAAGCTCTGCTTTCGAAGGAACTTGGACATGAGAGTCAGAGCACGTGATCTCTCTATCAGACTGGTCCATGTCAACTCCTATGGTATACAGTTTCGGGCTTCGAGCTTGGGACATACATGTGACTTTCCGGAGGTCCTAAGGCGCGCTGATGGCTGCCGCTTGCACAAGGATCCGAGAGCTTTGAAGGAGCACCTTGACCCCGAAAAATTTAGGACTCCTTTAGCAGTCCTTCGAAAGTTAGTTTATTTGTGGCTGAGGCAGGCCATGGGAAACTACTGTTGCTCTGGGTGCCTGGAAGTCAAGAGTAAAGGATTGGCTAAAGCTGAATCCACTTGCGGTCCGGTGAAGCTCAGTGGCCACACGAACTCACAATGCCCAAAATGCATTCATGAAAATGCCCTAAACTCTAAACCCCCTAAACCGTCGCTGCTGGGTGCGGCCATGCTTGGGGGTGTCTTTGCATGAAGAAGGACACCCTGAAGCCTCAACCCTGAAAGCTAAATCCTAAACCGGTAGTATGGCATGGACCGGGAGGGGGCGGAAAGAGGCGTCTTCCGTCTTCCTCTTTGGAGCACATCGCACTCAGGGGGCTGGCAACATTTCAGCTTGGACAGCGACTTGTGCGATGGGCCACCTTCGACACTTGAGCATAGCTGTTGTCCTGAAGCTCAAAATAGAAAGCGAGTACTGCTAGATGATGGCTTGAGCTACCGAGTACTGCTAGATGATGGCTTGAGCTACCAACCCCGCGACGGAGCTGTCAGAGTCGAGCGGACATGCAATCACAAGAGCAGATGACGACTTAGGAACCTTCATCATCTTACAACCCCATAAACTGGGAACGGCTTCGTGTGTAGGGAAGTTTAGGGCTTAGGTATCAGGAGAGGAGGGCGCAAGCAGTCTCCGAAATCCCCAGCGGCCCCTGCAGCGTCGCGGTCGTGAGAAGCTTCAGATCGGGGGCCCTTGCACTGGGCTGTTAGGGGCTGAGCGGTTCAGGGTTTCATAGTTTTGGGTTCAGTGTCCAGGCACTCCAAAATTTGGAGCAGATCTCCTTAACGAGGCCAACCCTTCTTCGCTGATGCACTCGGCTTCGACGCCTGGACACGGTGCAAAAGCCTGTGGAACAAGGAGGGCTTAGGGCTCAGGGATGTGCAGGACAGACTTTTGTCAGCTCTGGTGACAAGCGGCGGTAGCTGGAGCATGGGCTGTCAACGGGGGACTTGTGAAGTGCTGTCGCTTGCTGCTTGCTGCAACTCGTCCTTTTGCTCTGATGCTGCGGAGACCACATCATGAGCAGCGGCAGCGTTCCGACGCAGGGCTGGCAGGAACAGCGAAGGAAGCTTCCGAGAAGCACATAAAAAGGCACGGCACGGACAACAACGCGGAATTGAAAGCGGTCGACCAACTGCGATCAAGATCAATCCAAGTACAAGCCCCAGCTGGCAACGCTAAATAAGCTCTATAAGGTCTAACACTCCTCGTCAGGGAACTCGCACCGGGATTGGGCAGCAAGGGCACAGTTGGCAGAGTCAGGCACTGTGTCCACAACAACTTCCTGCAAGATGGCGCTCACTGGGAGACCCACAGCACCACGTGTCGAAGAGACGCGGCGCTGAGCTGCAGAGGAGAGGGGCAAAGAGCCCACATCTCTCGTTGCACCATGGCTCCCGGTGTCGTGAAGTCAGGAGTGGAGAATGTGCTAATACAGGGGCCTTAATAGAACAGGGTTTTGGGGCCCGCTATACTATACCTGTAGTACCTATAGCAAGGAAACCCTAAAAAAAGAGTATTGGTGATTATTTAGGCCCCGATATTAACTCGAGTCTGCCTCTCCACTGGTGAACCTCACGAGACCCACGAGCTTACAGAGCTCCGTGGCTCGCATGAAAGTGGCGTCCTGCATGGGGGCCTTACAGGGTACTATAGGGTTCTGTATCCGGGTCCCCCTTCATGGGTACTATAGGGTTCTATCATAGGATCCCCCTTGGGGGTGACGGTGCGCCCAGCCTACGGTTCTGTTGGGAAGGTTCTCTGAAAATTTGCCTCGCAAGGAGCCATCCTTGTCCGACAGCAGGCTGTGACGACTAACCTTCGATCGCTGGAGGTTTGGCAACTCGCCGGCAGAAGACGTAAAGCAAGTTCAACACTTCCCGACTCACCCCTCCAGTGTGCCGTTCGAGAGAAGAACGCCGCGTAGACCTCAGGACAAACTCCGCGCGAACCCCGAAGCAGCACCTCACAAATCCTCTCGACGAGACCCCAGACAGCAGACTAAGATAAGGACTTGTGGACTTGTAGGGGACCACAAAGTTTTACCACTGCTCTTTGAACAGGAAAAGTTCCCCTATTGGTGCTCTATTTCAGTGGTCCCATCCTGTGCAACGGGCAGAAAGCCAGAGAGGAATCTTCTGTGGCTACATCTCTGGCTACTCCTGTGCCTCCGGACCTACCTTCAGGTACCCTTCTTCAGTCATGATTACGACCTCGAACAGGGCGCCGGTGGGAGTTATGGTCAGGTCCGGTGCCAAGAAAGCCTGTGGGTCGGAAGGGACTTCTGAAGTGCTGTCGCTTGCTGGTTGCTTCAGGTCGCCCTTTTGCTCGAATGCTGTGCAGACCAAGTCATCTGAAATGCGGCATTTCGAAGGAGAGCTGGTAAGAACAGCGAAGGAAGCTTCCGACAAGAAAACAGGCACGGCAGGGACAGCAACGCAGACCTGAAAGCGACGACCAGCTGCTATCAAGCTGAATCCAGGTACAAGCCCCACCAGGCAATGCCAGCAGAGCTGCTGCCTTCGGTCCTCAAACTCTTCGGCAGGCAAGCCTCAAGAGCGCTGGACATCACTGCTCACCTTCTGAAAGGCCATGAAGATGCAAAGCCGACAGACCGCAGGCGAAGTTGTTTACGTTGCCCCAAGAGCCAGAGGAGGATTCACCACTGGAGTCCGTAAGGACGGACAAAAAGCATGCGCAACTGCGAAGTCGGAGTGAACAAACCGAACTTTAGGCTTTAGGTTTTAGGGCAGGCACGCATCATTGGGTGCATGCTGTCAGATGACGGGCAGGGTCGGGAACTGGCCCAAACGCAGAGCCAAAAGACAGAGAGCCATCACCTCTTCCACAGAGATCTCTCTGTCAGAGTGGCCAAGGCAAATTCCTAGATTCTTGAATGTGGCTTTCCGGAAGCCCTGCATCGTGAGACTCCGGTGGCAGAAGACTGGACAAGAGGCCTGGATGGAGGCGCCCGGACAGGCCGCTGCGTGCCCCTGGCACAGAGTGTCCAAGAAGCAGACGAAATGGGAAAACGCCATCGGTTCAGGTGCCTCGAAGTCAGGAGGGAAGGGCTAAGGGTGTGCTAAGTTGAGTCTGCCGGTCCTCCGGTGAAGCTCAGAAGCACCGAGATCCATTTTTCATACGAAATCCCTTCCCTGCTGAGGTCGTTTGGAATGCACCCAGCCTGCCGTGGTCTTGGGAAAATTCTCGACAGCTCCGGCCCCACCAGGAGCCATCCTTCGGTGGCAGAAGACGTACAGCAAGCGCAACAGCTCTCGACTCACAGCCGCTTTCAAAAGAAGGGGCGCTTCTCGGAGATCATGCATCATGCGAGTCCGGTCGCAGAGCGCGGAATACGAACGAGCCGATGGATGCCCCCTTGCACCGACAGCCGAAGGGCTAGACGAGACAGGAAAATGCCATGGCTCCGAATATAAATTGAGGGTTTCGAGCTTAGGGCTGCGGGATTATAGGTTTCTGGATACCTCGAAGTCAGTTGAGTCCTGTGAAGATCAGGACCTCATTAGCACAAAGCTCCATGTCTCGTGCGAAAGTGCCATCCCTGTGGTGGTCGCTAGGAAGCCAGCAGACAAGAGTGTGTCTAGCCTGAGGTGTGCTTCTCAAAAGCCCGCCCCGCAGCGAGCCATACTTCAATGGCAGAAGATGTACAGCAAGCTCAACAACGCCCAGCTAACCCACTCAGCATACCCTTCAACACAAGCTTCGGATCCGGCGCAGCTGCAGCGCAGCTTTCGAGGCAACGCAGGGCCGAGGACCAATCCCCCTCAAACCGCAACGCAGAAGCCCGCTCTCAAATCACAAAGGCCTTGCATGGCAAGGATTCCTTCGGGATTCCAAGAATCGAAGGATGATGCAGGACAGGCACTCTTTCAGTTTTTCTTTGTAGTGATTTCGTGGGCTAGAAATTTCCTGAAGCAGGGAGGAATCCTCCGCGGCTACGTCTCTGGCTATTCGCGTGCCTCCCAAGCACCCTTATTCTTCAGGGATGACTTTGGCTTCAGGGACTGGAGTGCCACGCTCAGGCCAAAAAATAGGTGCCGGGAGAGTTTTTTGTCAGGTCCGGTGCCAGCAAAGCCGCAGAACGGGTGACAGGCGGTGCTTCACCAGGCCTCCTTGAGCGACGATTCTTTGGGTTCTGTTGGCGATCGCGCCCCGGTGGAGGCGTGCCCTGTGAAGTCCAGCCGCTTGCTGCGAGGGGCAGCTCTTCCCTTTCCTTTGCCTTGCCGCAGACCAACACTTCATCAGAGAGAAGCATGGCCTGTCGAGGGAGCTGCAAGAAGAGCGAAGGAAGCTGCCGGGAAGCAGGTGAAAAGGTACGGCGAGGACAGCGACGCAGGGCTGAAAGCCATCGATCAGCAGTGATACTAAGCTGAGTCTGTGCCAAATTGAAGCCGCCGCTTCAGAAGTCGGGGACGTGAAGCAGTGCATCGTTCTGACTTCAGGCTTTGGGTTTTCTAGGATTCTAGGGCTTGAGAGCTGAAAAAGCACCAAAGCCCGGAGCTCTGAGCGTCGAACTTGCAAGGCTTTAGGGTGCTTCGGTTGATGATATGAATCCTGCATAAACCATAATCGAGAATACACCGTAATTCCCATAGTTTAGGGTCCTTAGGGTAATGCATGATTTATATCATCAACAGTTTGAAGAGGGTTTAGGGGTTTCGGGTTTAGGGATCCCATTATGAAGGTCTGTATTAGGTAGGGTCCATGCCTCCAAAAACCGTCTGCGCATCTGAAGTTGAAGAATCCATGCACAAGCCCAGCCAGGCGCTAACAGAGCCGCCCAGGGTCCTAAAGCTCCTCCTCAGACTCGCGAGGGAAGCGGGGAGCGCTGGACGATGAAGCCACACCAAGATCTCTGCAAGCAGGCGCTCGTGGGTAGACCCCCTCCTCGCCTTGAAGAGATAAGGAGACATAGGAAGACGAGCTGCAGGGCAGAGAGACACAGAGCCGTCATCTCTGCCGCAGTGCTCTCTGCCGCAGTGCTCTGTCTGTCAGACTGGTCCAGACGGATCCCTAGAGTCCCAGACTCAAACTCGGCTTTGCGCACGTCCCTAAACCCTAAGCCGCGTCATGCGATAGCTTGCGACAGTTCGCAGGAGCCGAGGGGGGTAGCCCAAAGCTCCATATCTCCTGCGAAAGTGCCATCCCTGTTGGGGACGCTGTGAGACCAGGAGATACAAGTGCACTAGCTTGCATCCGCCTGAGAGCTTGACAAGGTCAACAGGCCCGCAAGCTTTGCCCTGCACGGGAAGACACCCTGGCACTTGCAGCGCCACCTCCGCAGTGCAAGCCCGAAAGAGTGGCTGGCGAATGTCGGCGCCTTCACTTTGTGGCGGGCTGCACGGGGAATGCCACAGTACAGAGCTGTCGCAGCAGCCCGCTTGCATCGTGTAGGCCTGCACTGTCTTCACTCACGTCTGGAACCGGCCTGTGAATTTCCGGGGCAACCGTGGACAGCGCATCCACGGGACCTGAAGAGCGAGTCTATGTTCGAGAAGGCAGCTCACAGCAGTCGCGGAATTCAAAGCCCAGGCCAAGAAGGGCCCCTTGCTTTTTGGCCTGGGCTCATGGGCCTTTCCGCACGAGGCCACCTCTTTACTGATCCATGCCGGTCTCCATGTTCAGCGAATGCCTGCACAGCACGAAGAATTCATTCGGGCTTCACCACTGGGTTCTGCGGTACTCCCCATCTAGATGGTGCTGCTAGCGACAAATCACGAAGCTTGCAGAAACAGCATCACCACCCTGGCCATCGCAACAACAAGAAGGATTTAACAAACTGCACCAGAAGTCAATCCGAACCTGTCAGATGTCGGCAAGCTTCGGAAAGGAGGCATCAGGAGAATTGAATCCAAGCCGTGCCAAAACTTTAGGGTTTGGGCTTGAGTGTTCTGGCTTAAAGCGCTTAAAGCAAGGGGCTGACTGTAAGATTAAATTTCACAAAGGTTCTTCGATAAGCCATCCCAAACCAAGGAGTTCTGCGTTTCTGCCGCGGCGACTGTTGCTGCACGAGAACAATCAAAACCTATCATCCTTCACATGCCTCAACCGGTGGGATTGAAGGACCCCAAACCCTAAACCCTAAACGCTACTTGGAGGGTCGGGGGACTTAGTAACTAGTTATTTTGGAGACTTATAAGTACCGTAACCCCAATAGGATCCTTTTTGGGGTGCTTATAACTTGTAAGTCTACTTATCGACCCTCCAAGTAACCTTTATCCCAACTCCTGGAGCTTTTGAACCCGGACACCCTGAATGGTGGCTTCGTGGCTCAGTCTGCGTTGGTGCTCCGTACAGTACGTACAGTACACAAAATTTAGGAACACCACTGGAATGACATTTCAACTCATCCTGGGCCCCTGTAGGCAACTGTTTTGATTATTCCTCCCGGCGCCCGTAGACAGAAGGGTTGTACTCAGAAACCTAGTCATACCTAAACGGACTCTCTTCTGAATCTCTGGGCTCAGGGCTTAAGGCTTTTGGTTTAGGGCTTTGCGTGTCGGGATCAGGGTTTAGGGCTTCGGGCTCAGGGCTTAGGGCCAACAGATTGGAGTTTCTGAACTGTGCTGGATTCCTCGATCATGTCAAGATGCCTAACTTTCCGTGACGTTGCTACCTGGTGCTCACATGGGTGGTTGTCAAAATTGTGGTCTCTTTTTGGGTCCCCATTATAATACGGCACCCATTATTTCGGGTACCCGAAAGAGGACCCTAATTTTGACAACTACCCACATGAGACTGAAATCCTGCTCCTATAGTAAAAGCCAGAAAGTTGGAATATGATTATCCTAAACCCTCTATGGTAAATTATAGGGTATCCTACCCTGAAACCATATTCCAACTTTCTGGAGTTCCCTTTATAGGAACGGCAAGCCTCAAAGCCGGCTGCGAATGCTCAGCGTGCGGCGATGGGCTTCGGAGTGGTCACTGCGGACAATCGAGCATCGATCCCTTTAAAAGGATCCTATAAGGTTTAGGGTTTAGGGTTTATGGATTTATAGGATCCCTTTCATGGCCCTTTCGACGCTCTTCTTCTGCTACCCTTCACTTGAACAGATCTGCGGGAGAAGAACGCTCAGGACTGAGAGGTTGAGGCTTGCGGCTCGTGTTGATTTCAAGTTGGCTTAGGGTTTCGGGGTTGGGGGTTGAGGGTTTAGAGCTCCAAGCATGCAGTGTGCCTTCGCTCATCGAGTTGGCTGTCAGCCGCTGTTAGCCTGTATAGGAGTTTCCGAAAATAGGGGACCCTAATATAGGACCCCAAAATAGTAGGATCCTTAGTATAAGGAGCCCCAAATTAAGGTACCCCTAATTTTCGGAAACACAAATTTTAGCACTGCACACCCTAAAAAAATGGTCACACTAACATTCGCACTACGCTCATGTGCATTCATACCACTGCTCCTGCTGTCGGTGCTACCTAAGTTGTCATCGCTGTTGCTGCTCATAGTCCTGGTCTGATTGATGCAGTTGTCAGCACTGCGCATTCTTGGCTCGCGGACGTCAGGATAAAGTTATTGGATTTTTCATGACCCGGGCATCATGGTGTCCCCGGCACCCGAATACACGAATTTCTGAACCTGTCGACATGCTCGAGGGTTACTTTGCCCATCCAACCTCCGTTTGACAGGAACCTTTGCCACTGCCTGTATCTACATGTCTTGTGAAAGTTAAAACGAGTCCGGCCTGCTCCAATGCCCTACTTGTTGGCACTGAGGCAAGCTCGTTGTGATGAGCCGAACAGACTCACACGATGCATTGAATTCCTCGAAGGTGTACGGTTTTAGGGTTGCCTCAAATTCACTATAAGGGCTACAATTACTGCAAGGGTTATTATACCATCAGGCTAAACCATATTGGCAGGCTACATGGGAGTTTCCGAAAATAGGGGACCCTAGTATAGTACCCTAAATAGTAGGATCCTTATTATAAGGACCCCAAAATAAGGTACCCCTAATTTTCGGAAACTCCCACATTGATGTGCGTCTACTTCAGGGTCTCGTCGGGTTGGAACCACATCTGCAGCTGCAGAGCGTCGCCGCATCCCCCGAAGCCATCGGCCTGCATCTTCGGGCGGTCGAAACTGTAGAGGCCGCAGAGACCTCCGGGAAGGGCTCCTTTTTCCAACTGATCCGCTCTTTTAGGGTTTAGGGGTCAGAGCTTAGAGGGTTTAGGGTTTCGGCTTGAATTCGTAGGGGCCCGGGGCCAACATCCACGAGAATCAGACCATCAGTCAACACCATCGTTGTAGCGATAGTTGTCGTCGTCGTCGTGGTAGCATCGGCAGCAGTAGCAGCAGCAGCAGCAGGAGTAATAGTAGGAGGAGTAGGAGTAGGAGTAGGAGTAGGAGTAGGAGTAGGAGTAGGAGTAGGAGTAGTAGTAGTAGTAGTAGTAGTAGTAGTAGTAGTAGCAGTAGTTCTAGTAGTAGTAGTAGTAGTAGTAGTAGTAGTAGTAGTAGTAGCAGTAGTAGTAGTAGTAGTAGTAGCAGGAGTAGTAGTAGTAGTAGTAGTAGTAGTAGTAGTAGTAGTAGTAGTAGTCGTAGTAGTAGTAGTAGTAGGAGAAGAAAAAGAAAGGTAGTGGTAGCAGCAGCAGTAGCAGTAGTAGCAGTATTAGCAGCAGTAGCAGCAGTAGCAGCCGTAGCAGCAGTAGCAGCAGCAGAAGTCATTTTCAATGTAGCCGCACCCGAGAGTAAGCTCAGCACCTGGGCCAGATGCATAGAACGTAGTCTCCGTTGAGCTCTTTCCTTTCCAGCTATCAGAAGCGTTCTTGACATTGAAAACCGTGAAGCGATGCATCCAGTCCTCATTTTGCCGGAGGACAGGCTAAGGGTTTCGGATGCAGTGTTGAAGGTTTAAGGCTTCCGGTTTAGGGTTTTAGGGTTTAAGGCTTAAGGCTTACGGTTTAGAGGTTAAGGTTTAGGTTTTTGGGTTTTTTGGGTTCAAGCCCAATCTCTTGCGGTCGAAGGTTTTGGCGGGTGAAAACATGCCTCCGATGCCAAGGAGCCTTCCAGTACCCCACGTCCAGTCCGCAGATCTTCCCCTGGAAGTACTTCTCCTGAGGAAACTAGGTTCAGCTACCATAATAATGGGGATCTATAAGGGTTCCTTTAAAGCTTTAGGGCTTAAGGCTCAAGTCAGCATAATAGAGGTCCTGGGCTCTTGCTGAGGAAACTAGCATTAAGCTACCATAGTTAGGGATCTATAGGGGTTGCTTTATGGGTTTAAGGCTTACGGCTTAAGGGATTAAGTTACCATAATGGGTCTATAGTAAGTCATATAGTTTCTTTCTTATGGCAACTTGCATCCAAAACGTTTAACAAGAACCCAGTTTCTGGCATCTCTTCTCCGCCGGTGTTGTGCTCCGGCAGGGGAACGAAGCCTCGGCCGACGAAGTTCAGCTGGTCGATCTGATCTCCGCGGCGCCCGGCAATCGAGTGAATGGGGCCGTGATCCCTGCTTCTTATGCTTGCATAGACCCATTTCTCTCGACCGTCCTTCTTCAAGTCCATCTGGTTGTTGCCAGTGAGCCATCCAGATAATGTTGGCAGCTGAATGAACACTGGCAGCGGATCAGGTATCAATTTGCCAGTCTCTTCTCCGGGGATCAGGCGACGGACGTAAGGATAAGTTGAGATCATCGGGACAAACTCTTCGATGAACTTTTGCTGCATGTGGCGTTCCTTGACGTGCTCCTTAAACTTGTCCGTGAGTATGTCATACGGCCAGTTGTCGTTTTTTGACTTCTCCGTCTTCCAAGTCTGCTCGAAGCCTGCAAATGCTGACGAAATTCGGTGATGATCTACGAAGAAAGGTGTAGAGAGAGCTGGAGCAACATGACTAAAAACATTGATGCTCCTTTCTACTGTCCACATCTGCAAAAGATCTATGACAGCTAGACCCAGGAGTAGCCTAGGAATAAAAAGGGTGCCCTTTTTGGTTTAAAGGAGCTTATAAGGGAACCGGAACCCCCAAAAAAGGGAATAAGGGCCTACTCTAGGTCCTAGACAGGGGCCGAGAACCACCAGAAGGGGCCCGTCTCATGCTCGTTGCAGCACTCACTGCGAAAACGTCTAGACTACTGCGCTGTTTCCAGAAGCTTTCACTCTTGGATTAGAGCGTGGGTGGTTGTCAAAATTAGGGGGGTCCCCTTTTTGGGTCCCTTATAGAGTACGGCACCTAAAATTTTAGGGTCCCCAAAATGACGGCCATAATTTTGACAACCACCCACATACCTGTAGCGACCTCTCTACCGGGCTACAACCACACAGTGCTTTGGTCAGGGTGGTTTGGGGTTGAGAATTTGGGGTTTGGGGTTGTTTTAGGGTTGAGGGTTTGATTTAGGGTTGAGGGTTGGGGGATTTAGTTTGGTGTGAGGGTTTGTCATTTTTTGGTGTGCACCCAAGCCTGTGAGCTTGTCAATCAACGTTACAGAAGCCTGATAGTAGTAGACGAAGCTTCCACCACCACCAGATCGATATCTCCACTGCTTGGTTTCGAGTCGGTCCTTTCGCCACTTCTTCCACTCGTCCATGATGTCTTTGGCTGTCACATCCAGCTTTTTCATTTCATCCTCTGCTCTGCTCAAGGTTTGGGGTTTCGGGTAGATACGGGTAGATCACCAGAGGGGAAGCCCTACAAATATTTCCGCACCCGAACTCATAGACCCTGGGCCCGTAAACCCGCCAGTTGAACGATCCCTCAAAACCCTGAATCAAAAACCAAACCCCTGCAACCTAAACCAGTTTCAAAAAAAATGCCTTCTTGCAAAAATTATCTGGCTCTGCAAGAACCCAGAAACTTTCTTAAAACCCCAACAAAGCCTTCATAGAACTCCAAGGAACCGTAAGGAACCGTTGAAACCCCTTGCGATGCCAACCTGAACCCCAAACAACAACAAAGCATGGTGCAGCCTGAAGCAGAACGAGAAGACCCCAGTGTTGCCACAACCCTGAACCCTAAACCCTAGATCCTAAAACTTCTAATTACTGAGACCCCAGCGCACTGCTGGGGCATAAGTTTACTCCGGAGGTGTACGGTTTGGGGTTTGGAGCTCGGGTTACGGGTCTGGGGTTGAAAGAGAAAAGTTCAATCCATGTGGCCCTAAAACCCTCATAGCTTTAAAGGAACCCTCACAGACTCCGATATGGGAGTTTCCGAAAATGGGGGACCCTAATACAGTACCCGAACTAGTAGGATCCTTATTATAAGGACACCAGAATAAGGTACCCCTAATTTTCGGAATCTCCCATATAGATCCCTTGAAGGAACCCTGGACCCTTGTCCAACCCTCATACAAGCGCGAAGTCTTCAAACCCCTGACCCCTAAACCCTCGAACCCGAAAGCCCCAAATCCTGAAACCCTAAAACCCAAAAACCCTGAAGCCCTAAACCCTCGAACCCTTCCAAGAACCCTGGGAACCCTCAAACAGGAACCCTAAAGGCTTCGCTTTCGGATTCCTTTTCGGGCTCCTTCTACGGCTTGCTTTTCAGGTTCCGTTAAGAGAAACCCTTCTCACGAAACCGGTTCTTTTTACGGTTTCCTGTCCCCTCAAACCCAAACCCTAAACCCCAAACCCCCAATCCTAAACCCGAACCCTAAACCCTAAACCCCAAACCCTAAACCCGAACCCTAAACCCTAAACCCCAAACCCTCCAAAACGAGCCCCAAAGCTGATCCTTCACAGGAACCTCTCAAAAAGCACCCTAAACCCTCAAAAAGGAGCCCAAAGCTGTTCCTCTAAAGGATCCCTTACAAAGAAACCCTAAACCCAAAGGCCTAAGCCATAAAGGGTCCCCTCAAAAAGGAGCCCAAAGCGGGTCCTAAGCCTCGAACCCTAAACCCTAAACCCTCAAACCCTAAACCCAAAAAGATTTCTTAAAAAGGGAGCTCAAAGCAGGTCCTTCTACCTGAAATCATATTAGGGTTCCTAACACTTTTTGCGATATTTTCCTTAAACTAAGGGGTTTTTGGAGTCTCAGGCAGGTCCTTCATGGCTTCCAAGACGTCCTCGGAGACTTTCTTGGACTCGGGCTCGAAAGCTTCCTTCTCGGGTTTTGGGACTTAGGATAAGGGGACCTTTACAGGAATCTATAAGGATTCCTTTAAAGGATTCTACAAGAATTCCTTAAGGGGATCTGTAACGGGGGGTTTGGGGTTTTAGGTTTAGGGTTTTAGGGTTGTAAGGTTTTTGGGTTTAGAGCTTTAAGGTTTAGGGTTCAGGCTTCTAGGGTTTAGAGATTTAGGGCTTTAGGGATTTAGGGTTTATGGCTTTAGGGCCTTAGGGTTTTAAAGTTTTTAGGGTTTAGGGCTGTTAGGGCTTCAGGGCTTAGGGCTTTAGGGTTGTAGGGTTTAGGGCTGCAGAGCTTCCTTCTCGAGGCGGACGTTGTAGAGCTGCCGCCACCTAGTTCGGGGTTCGGGTTGAAGGCTATGTTTAAACACTTTTCCCCTTCCTTTCAGGTTTAGGGCCTAAGATTCAAAGGTCTGTTTCTTTTCAACGTTTAGGATTAGGGTTTCAGAAACCGGACTTCGCAGGGTTTAAGGTTTAAGGTTCAGGGCTTTGATGAAGGGGCCTATAAAGGACTTGTACTTGGAGAGGATCATGGGACTTAGTAGGTAGGGTGATAAGTACCCTAATTGGGGTTATAAGTAATTATAAGTATAGATACCCTCATTATAACCCTAGTTACTAAGTCCCATGACCCTTTAAGTAACCCCTACAAGACCCTTGCAAAGCTCCGGTCAAGTCGCCAAATCCACAGAGCCAAACCCTTACTTAAAGGATCACGGGACTTAGTAACTAGGGTGATAATGAGGGTAACTATACTTGTAATTACTTATAACCCAATTAGGGTACTTATAACCCTACCTACTAAGTCCCATGATGCTCCAAGTAGGGGTTAAGGAGGGTAAATGCTTGATCTTATAGGGTGCGGTAGGGGTTTGTATATAATGCTGTTGAGAGGCTCATTCTCCAAACGGTCTGAAGACAATATGGTGTTTTTTGTGTTTCTTTAATGCAAAGAGGATGTGGCCGAGAAGTGCCGGGAGCGGCACTCTCGGCAGTTTTGCGGCTTCCACGGTGGTGTAGTGCACATGTTCGAGCACAATCGTCTTTCCACAGTCCCGCTCGGGCCGCGTCCACCGGGATGCCGAATTCACTAAACTTCCGAATCATGCTCCCGCCAGTGCTGTGGATCTTTTGGGGTGCACGTCGTCTTCCCGCCAAAGTCCTGTGTTCGCCTGCCGAAATCGTGCTCCCGACAGCTCGGCTGTCCTGAGAATGTCGCGGTTGACGTTGTTGGCACACTTGCCCTTGCAGCCGCCATGGTACTCTGCTAAGAAATCCGTGATGGAACCAAACCCTACCACCTCAAACCATCAACCCCGAACCCTAAACCCAAAGCCCTAAACATTTTGGACCGGAACGGTCCTTGGGTGTGCACAGCTTGTACTGCTAGGTGCTCCTTTTTACAAGCCTACACATAGACATACATACATAACATATATACGTATATGCATACATACATACACACAAACGCGCACGCACCAACACACACACACACACACACATGCATGCATGCATGCATGCATACATATATACATACATACACCAGCCCACACATACACACTTACATACATACATACATACATACAGACACTTTCACTTTCCTCGTTGCACAGGCGTCGACTGTGCTACGACTAATGGAGGACAGGCTTCAAGCCCGGCAGCGCTGTGGAATCACATCCTCCTCCCAACAGCCGGAAGCAGTTGCCCCCGGCACTAATGCCCTGAAGCGGGGCATGCCACTAATCAGCTCTCGCATAAATGAAAAGATACATGTCACGACGAAGCAGGCAAACCTGTTGTTGCGGAATTCGCACCGCAGGCTTCCCATCATCAGCAAGTAAGAAAGCAGAAGACCTGGAGTTATGAAGGAGAGTCTGATAGTGGCCCACATCTGGGGCCTCGCCCAGATGCACAATAACAGAATTGAGTCGATACGCCACTGAATGACAATGAAGACCCTCCTCGAACACAGGAAACTCGATATGAGGATCAGGATCAACAGCATAACGACGTTTGTGGGCCCTCAAGCTGTCCGTGGCATAGTGGAATCGACTGATTTGCAAAATGACTATCGGAGTCGGAACTACTGCCGCATGCTTTCCTCTTGTTCATGCCACTTTCTAAGCAGAAAGCTAACCGAAGTCAAGCAGGCAAAGTCATCTTCAAGATTCCCGGGGGGTGGCATGATAAGAGGGGCAGAAGCACCGGCATCAAAAGTGCGAGGCACACCATCAGTGAGCCCTCTGGACTGCCATGGCAGTGAGATGCTGTCAATCGCAAGCAGTGAGCCTGCACAGAGAAAAGCGAGGAACTCAGCTACGTCGTGTTGGCGGCTCGGGTTTCGCCATCCCTTGGCAACTGAGAGCCAAACCGGGTGCACCCAGAGATGCACTACAGCCTCTGAGGCCCTACGCAGCAAGCCTCGAAGAAAGTCCCCATGCCTAGAGTTGAACACCTTATAGCTCATGCCCGGTTGGCAAGCTGCATGCAGGAGGGCCTTCAGAAGTGCATTGGCATAGCAGAAGTTACAGCTATTGCCGAGCAGGACCCTCTCTACCGCGTCAGGGCGGCCAATCTCTTGCTCAGAGCGCTCAGCTGCATCCGTTCGTGACGTAGATAGCAACCCGCTGCCAGCCACGCCCCCGATTGAGCTAAGAGGTGCAGGCATTTCCACGCCTTCTGTGCCGCATCCACTCGATTGCCCACCTCGAGAAACATGCCCAGGATGGGAGCTTTGTACTCCGCGGCCAACTTGCGCATCCCGTGGAATCGCGTGATCACAAAGTCCTGGGAGCTGAGGATCATGAGCTCCTGCAGAGCCTGTCGAATGGTGCAGGGTGTCTGGGCCTCCGCCTTGATGTCCACGATGTGGCGATTCTCCGTGGGGCTCCACTTCATCCCATGCACCACTGATTCGTCCTTGGCTAGCCATTCCATCTCGATGGCTTTCGACCTGGATGAGGGCGAGGCCATCATCTCTTCGAAGCCCTTCATCACTCGCTCCACCACATGTTGGAAGAGCACGACCCTCATGGGCGAAGTCAACTGCTCCGGCGCCTGTTCCTTCGTGCGATGCCAGCCTGACCCCACTGCATAGAGGCTCTGAGCCAAGTTGCCCTTCCCCTGGGCCTGGACGAACAGGACGTAGGCTGTGTCCTGGCGGAATATGTTCAACTGAACTTCCTGTCGCAGGACGATCGTCGTGAGTAGGTTCACCACCGCTTGTAGCTCCTCCAGCCGCTTGTCGTTGGTCTGAGCTTCCGACTGGCCTTGGGAGTTCTGGAACTGCGGGCCCCCCTTCTGCGGCTTCTGTCCTTGTTTGTTTGGCCAGGATCTGTAGGAGCGTAGGCCCCCCTTCTGGCCCTTGCCTCCTTTGCCGCCTTTGCCTTCTCCCTGATGTTCCAGCTTGTTTGGACGCTGCCACTTCGGGGGTCTGTCGTCCTGGTCCGAGAGTGCAAACGGGTCCTCCAAGCCGCCCACCATGCTCTGTATCATGTGCAGCTCTCTCGTGGCCTCCCGTAGGTCCTGGAGTTCCATGGGGAGTGGGCCCTCCCCCTCCTCGCGGAAGAACATGCTGGCCGAGAGTCCTGGATGGGAGGCCCGTCAATCCTAGGTGTCCTCCTCGAGCAATACGGTGGTGGAGGTAAACCCCGTTGAAGATCCCTATGCACGATCGCAAATGGGCATCTTTACGGGTAAAGCTTTGGCCACAGAACTGACAAGGATTTTGAATGCCGATGTTGCTTTCAGTGATCTCCTTAATGCATTGCTGAATCAACGGGGCCCTCTCCGGATGCTGTTTCTGCATGTGTCGTCGAACATATTGTGGACGAACACACCAGTGGTGGCACTCCAGACAGTGATGATGCTTAGATCTGACCATCTCAGCTAGTGCAAGAACCTTCCAGTCACTGTCCTTGGCAAGGGCGAGCAAGGTTTCCGAATTCACAAGGGCCTCGCTCAGTAGTGGGAGAACAGTGGCTTCAGGGTTCTCTTGGTTGTAGATGGCACGTAGGAATTCGCAGCTGCGGCTATTCACGTGGTAAAAGAATGCCGGCCATGTCGTGAATTTATACCTGCAGTGCCTGCACTGTGGCATCCCGTCCAGGGCGTGTTCCATGGGCGATGCCTTACGTGCCTGTGCCCTCTCCGCATCACGTGCTTCTTGTTGTTCAGCATCAAAGTGTTTGCTGTATTGGTGATGGCTTAGGGAGGCCTGAGACACAAAGGTTTGGCCGCACACTTCACACTCAAATGTTTCGTTCAGGACTTTCTCCACACGGACCAAATGTGCACTTTCTTCAGAAGAGGGCACAGTGCACAGCGGTTGCCACAGACTTGCCATAGGGGCAAACAGTTGCCCTCTCACAAGGTGCCGCCATTGCTGCTGCTCCTCCGAAAGCTGGAGGGAGGGACCTAGGTAAGCATCAAGTTCAAGTCGTCGATTGAAGGCACGCTGTAGGCGCTGAACCGGCGAGGCGAGCTTCAGGCGCTTCACAAAATCGACATTGGTCTCCCTGGTGAACATGCTGTAGGAGCGAACAATGGAGCGTGCTTGGAGTATCAGGTGTGTCTGTAATGCATGGATGTCAGCGAGGGGGAGGCCTGTGCATTCTAGGCCATGTAGTAGAGCCGGCCATACACAACCCTGCCAAAGCTTAGACCTTGTGGCACAGAGCGGTTGCGAAGGATGGTGCCAAGCCGCGAAAAGGAGGATCTAGCAAGGCGAAGCCTGTGATCGAAGGTCTCTCTCTCTCGAACCTCCGGTATGATATCACCACACCTAGGTACACATGTTTGGGCACCACTTTGACATAGACTGGAGAGCCATCGATGGAGAGCTTGAGGTGAGGGCCTTCCTTGAGTTTGACCACATAGCGATCCATGACCCTCTGCGCCTGCGGACCATGAAGTGCTAGGAGTACCACTGTTTTGTCCATACTGACACACAACCCCCTCCTCCGGAGGGAAGTGAGCACATGACGGACTGCAGCGTAGGCTTTCTCCACGTCCCGGCCACTCCTCAGGATCCATGCAAAGTGTTTGTCGTCTGCGTAGACGGTACCTGATTGGCCAATGTCACAAAGCTCAGGGGCGTGCAGCCTCCGTAGGCGCTGTAGAGCGCTCAAAGGATGGGTGCTAATCCACATCCCTGCCTTAATCCACGGTGCAGGCTGACTCTCTTCGATTGGGAGCCATGTTGTATTTGGAGCCTTGCTTCAGCATGAATGAGGAGCACTGCTTGGATCAACGACTCTGGGACGGCAGCCTCTCTCAAGGCTGCTTCCAGATCCTGTCTGGGGACATGATCATAAGCCCCCGTAATATCAAGG